AAACAATTGCTGAAATTGTCTATAAATTGGGTATAAGTTGGTGTAAGTACTCCTCTATGTTTTTTTTTACAAGAACAATCAACTGAAATGTTTCATCTGCAGCGGAATTTATCTTTATCTTTAATTACGATTGATCTTGACATAAATAAACAAATTGAGTTCTCTCTCCGCTGAAACTCTGTTATTAAACACAAAGGTCTGGAATCTGCATATTTACATTGGCCTAGGTGCTTTTCGTTTTTTTTCCGTTATGGAAAGCAATTAGGAGGCTTAGATTAGAAAACTGATTAGCAATGAATCTAGAATATGACGGCTTTTTTTAAAAAAAAATGCTGAAGGGGGAGAAATTAAATTGTGCAAAGCTTTCAGTTTTAGTTAGTATTGGCATGAGACACGTTGGTAAATGAGCTGAGAAATGTCCACAACCCCACATTAATGTAGAAAATCCAACGTGTTGATTTCCAAACACAATCTGCATGATATTGAAAAGTGTTTTTCCTGTCTATTATACAGTAGTGGCCAAAATTGTGGAAACCTTTTGGGGAAAAGTGTACAGTAGAAATGCCACCTTTGGTTAAATGTCCACCAATTTTTTCTAACTGTAGCCTTGTTCACTTAATCATACTATTTTACATCGCTTTCTGGGCAACCAGTCAACTCTTTGCACCGTTCCTTTAATTTTATTACGTTTTACAAGCTCACTAAACGAAAGAACACAAAAAAACCCAACCAACTTGATAGCGATCACATAACACACTGACAAATGTCCTCCTCTCAGCTTCAATACATAATAATAATAATAATGATAAAGTTGGAAGGGACCTTGGAGGTCATCTAGTCCAACCCCCTGCTGAGGCAGGAAACCCTATACTATTTCGGACAAATGGTTGTCCAGTTTCTTCTTAAAAACTTCCAGTGTTGGAGCATTCACAGCTTCTGGAGGCAGGTTGTTCCACGGGTTAATTGTTCTAACTGTCAGGAAGTTTCTCCTTAGTTCTAGGTTGCTTCTCTACTTGGTTAGTTTCCATCCGTTGCTTCTTGTCCTGCCCTCAGGCGCTTTGGAGAATAGCTTGACTTCCTCTTCTTTGGGGCAGCCCCTAAGATATTGGAACACTGCTATCATGTCCCCCCTCGTCCCCTTGGCTTATTGCCAAAGCAAGATGACACCTGATTGGCTCTCTAAACACTCATGCTGATTGGCTACAATCAGATGAAGGAAAGCTACCTGATATCAACCTAAGCAAGTTGTGCTTCCTTTTTCTGGTTATATGGCTATCACTTTTCATAGAATACACTACAGATAATTGAACAAACTATGTTGCATTACATTCTTGATTAAATTATCTTTCCATTGATATATAATTATATGGTACTACTCCCAAAAAAGGGGGTGTTATTAGCCATCAAACCTCAAAAATACATTTTTCCCAAAAGGTTTCCACAATTTTGGCCACTACTGTATATTCTATTATGCGTTTCCATTGCCTGTGGCAAGTCCTTTTTTCTCTTGCACCTGTTCCATAAGGACTCCTAAAGCAGGTGCCTTACCTTGCCTTTTGAACGTTACCTTTAATGACTCCGAACGGCTCCCTACCTCTACAGCAACCATCATCAATTAGGATTTCACCCAAAAAGACTAAAAAAACCCATCAGGGAACCAATGACGTTGAGCAGAGCGCATATTTCAGTGACAGCCGCCAGCAGCTTCTGAAGCCACGACACAAATCTGGAAAATGGGTGAGCTATTTTAAACACAAAGACCTCCATCTACTTCCAGCGCTTTTGAAGGGTCCCCCACAGCCATGCCGGTCACACGGACGGTACCATGACTTCAGGAAAAAGTGAAGTCAATCTTACTTTTTGTGAAGTCAATCTTACTTTGTAAGATATTTGTGCAGGGCTTAAACTTTATGTACAACAACACCAGAAACAAAAGAAATGATAGACATGATAGGAGAGTATTTCCTTCGGATACACTTATTATCCTTGGGAAAGGACCAGACATGAATTTGAAAGAAAAAAAACAGAATATGTTTGAGGGCAGATAATAACAGAATCATCGGAATAACAGAATAACAGGATTGGAAGGGACCTTGTAGGTCTTCTAGTCCAACCCCCTGATCAGACAGGAAGTCCTATATCATTTCAAACAAATGGTTGTCCAGTCTCTTCTTAATGAGTGAGTAGGCATATATAAAAGGTTTGACAGTGTCTTCATGTTCACTGCTTCAAATTCAATTAACCAGTGGAACAGCTTGCCTTCAGAAATTGTGGGCGCTCCATCACTGGAGGTTTTTAAGAAGAGACTGGACAGTCACTTGTCTGAGATGGTATAGATTCTCCTGTGTGAGCAGGGGGCTGGACTAGAAGACCTCCAAGGTCCCTTCCAGCTTCTATTCTATTCTATTCTATTCTATTCTATTCTATTCTATTCTATTCTATTCTATTCTATTCCATTCCATTCCTTTCCTTTCTGTCTTATCCTATCCTATCCTATCCTATCCTATCCTATCCTATCCTATCCTATCCTATCCTATCCTATCACATCACATCACATCACATCACATCACATCCCACCACATCCCATCCCACTCTACTCTACTCTACTCTACTCTACTCTACTCTACTCTACTCTACTCTACTCTACTCTACTCTACTCTACTCTACTCTATTCTAAAATCAAATATTTATTTTGGTCATAGACCAGCATGATGGTGATGGTGATGACAATGTTATCCATTCAGTCATGTCCAACTCTTGGTATGTCAGAACTGCCATCATTCACTTGAGCTTCGCATTCACTAGTCTGCCATGAACTATGGGGGGTGGGAGAGCCGGTCAGCAGGGGGAAAGGCTAACTACTCGTCATACCTTCCAGAGACACCATCTCAAGGTCCATCTCAAGGTCAAAACACACTGGCAATGGAATGTTAACAGCTCACCAACCAGCCTGCTGTTGAAGGGACAGTTCCCAAAACAATTTATTCGAAAGTAATTGGAGGGGAGGAAGTGGATGGGGAAAATTAACCAGGAAAGTTTGGCGTGCGAACTTCAGTTCTGGCTTTGCTATACTGTAATCCACTTGGCCTTTAGCAAAGTAAACCTTTCACAACAAATGGAGTCAAGAGTCATTCTTACTTAAGGGACCAAGCTGGGGTAGGACTGACAGGATGAGTCTATGGGCCAGGTCTCTCCACATCTTCCGATCTTGCACTACATCTTTGAGTTGTTCTACGCTCTGACTGGTGTCAGCTTTGATGGTACCAGCATAACTCCATTCTTCCTTTAGCACAAATTATCCCCCTCTTTCCATATGTTTCTGCCACTTCTCCCTACATTTGTGGATGAAAATTGTAATTCATTAGCTCTGACAGTCTGTGCGAACACTTTTCCTGGAAAGAGCTTGAGGAAAATATGGCATACATTATTTGGTAGACTTAATTCTGCTCCATCAGAGCTGAAATGGCAGTGCAAAAGTGTAGCTCATATGGAAAAAGATCAGAGACTTTTTTTTTTTACAGCTCATCCATTAAGGAACCTCTGCATATAAAACGTACTTTTAATCTATGCGTCAACGCAAAATTATCCCTTTGTGATTAAAAATCTGCAAACAATTCTTTCAGGAAGGTATGTGGTTTTTTTTTCAACCTCTCAAGCTGTCTAGAAAGAGTGCAGAGAAGAGCAACAAAAATGATCAGAGGATGGAGGCTAAAATCTATGAAGAACGGTTGCAAGAACTGAGTATGTTTAGTTGAATGAAAAGGGCTAGGGGTGACATGCTAGCAGTGTTCCATTATCTAAGAGGTTGCCAGCAAGAAAAGGGGGTCAACCTATTCTTCAAAGCACCTGAAGGCAGAACAAGAAAAAAAATGGATGGAAACTAATCAAGGAGAGAAGCAACCTAGAACTAAGGAGAAATTTCCTAGCAGTGAGAACACCGAATCGTTGTTCTCCAGAAGTTGTGACTGCTCCAACACTGGAGGCTTTTAAGAAGAGACTGGACAACTGTTTGTCTGAAATTGTATCACGTTTCCTGCTTGAGAATGGGCTGGACTAGAAGACCTCCAAGTTCCCTTCCAACTCTGTTATTCTGTTATTCATTCTCTCACCCTGACCTCTTGGAGTAGTGCTTTCAGGAAGCAACAGAAATAAAAAAGAAAGGTCTTTTTCAAACAAACAATTAAAGAAAAAAAATTGAGTGGAGAATAACTACTTAGAGAAAAGATTGCTAGGCACCCAAAGTTGTTCATATTTAGAGCTCCTACATACAGTAGTGGCCAAAATGGTGGAAACCTTTTGGGGAAAAGTGTACAGTAGAAATGCCACCTTTGGTTAAGTTTCCATCAATTTTGTCTTCTAATTTATTTATAACTGTAGTCTTGTTTACTTAATAATACTATTTTACATCACTTTCTGGGCAACCAGTCAACTCTTTTGCACCATTCCTTTAATTTTATTACGTTTTGCAAGTTCACTAAATGAAAGAACACAAAAAAACCCCAACCAATTTGATAGCCATCACATAACACACTGACAAATGTCCTCCTCTCAGCTTCAATACATGACATCAAGAACTGGATCCTACTGTGATCTGATTGGCTCATGGCCAAAACAAGATGACACCTGATTGGCTCTCTAAACACTCACGCTCATTGGCTACAATCAGATGAAGGAAAGCTACCCGAGATCAACCTAAGCAAGTTGTGCTTCCTTTTTCTGGTTATTTGGCTATCACTTTTCATAGAATACAATACAGATAATTGAACAAACTATGTTGCATTACATTCTTGATTAAATTATCTTTCCATTGATATATAATTTTATGGTACTATTCCCAAAAAAAGGAGTGCTATTAGCTATCAAACCTCAAATGTACACTTTTCCGAAAAGGTTTCCACAATTTTGGCCACTACCGTAATTCATAAACGAAGTGTCAAAGTTAGCATTTAACATACTAATGCATAAATCCATCAAAAAGTAGGAAAAAGGGTTTTTTTTACCAGAAAATTTTCCTTCCTTACAGCGGGCCGGTCCACAAATCCCAACAATGGGTCTTTGGCCTCTCCCTTGCTGTTCTGGAGAAAAATTGGATCTGTGAGTTAAAAGAAGGAACATGCTATTTGACCCAGCCCAACCACCCTTTTGTAGCTATTTTTTAAATTATTTTTTTTTCCAAAAAAACATTTACAACAGTAATTCTTAAAACAAAACCTCATAAATGTAAGCCATGCTTGATATACCACATGGATCTTGAATGGGCTGAAATCTGGAAACGGTTTACGAATCTGATGCATTTGTTTCACGCTTATTTGTTTTATTTATTTATTAAATTTGTTTGTGGGCCATCTTGCCACCCAGGAGATGCTGGGTGGCTTCCAACATTAAAAGGAAACCGTGAATATATGTATAAATATATAACGCAGGGGTCTTCAAACTGGGCCCTTTTATGACTTGTGGACTTCAACTCCCAGAATCCCTCAGCCAGGCACGCTGGCTCAGGAATTCTGGGAGTCCACAAGTCATGAAGAGGCCATAGTTCCCCATGCTGGCTGAGGAATTCTGGGAGTTGAAGTCTGCAAGTCATGAAGGGGCCATAGTTCCCCCGTGCTGGCTCAGGAATTCTGGGAGTTGAAGTCCGCAAGTCATAAAAGGGCCAAGTTTGAAGACCACTGATATAACATCACAGTAAACATAAATTCAACCTCTGTGACAATTTCAGTTTCACTCAAAAGTCCTTAGCTTCCCTTAGTTTACTTCACTGAGCTTTGACTTTGGCCATGCAAAATTAAAATTCTACTGTGTTTAGTAGTAAATGAATGGGCTTTTTTTTTTTGTTTCCAAATTTCAAACCAAGACATGCCTTCATTTCATGTCAGAACAAAATTTGCAAACCCATTACACCTTTTAATTTGAAGATTTCTCCATACGTGTTTCAGCATAAAAATATGGTGGATATTTCACCGGACTCATTACCAGCAAAGAACAGATCGAAAGAAACACATGGAGTTCTATTTGATTCCATCTACTCTCCTCATCTCAGCCCCACCTGCTAAAAATTATAACCTCCACTTGAAGCTTGCACACTCTGCTTGGAACACATTCCAAGAGCCATTCTTCATCATATTGATTAATCCAAATTTGACAGTCTTCGCTGGGTTTATGGCAATGCCGAAGCAAACAAATAAGTTTGAATGGAGGATATCTTAATCTCCATTGATTGATTTGCAGCTAAGTTCTTAATGTGAACAGGAGTGAAACTCTTACACAAACCCATTTTGTTCAACATCTATTAACTGAAATATCAAATGAAATATTTGAACATGTCCTAGAAGGATGTTGTAGCCATTTGGAATATACTGGCTGTACTACACCATGTATTCTTCAGATATGATTTACTGATTATAGCACATTTGGATCCTATAATGCACAGAGTCATAAATTATAGCTCATAAAGCATAAACCCAAATCAAAACACCTGTGGTCTAGAGAAGATCTATACCAGTGGTGGCGAACCTATGGCACATGTGCCAGAGGCAGCACTCAGAGTCCTCTCTGTTGGCATGCACGCCACCACTGCCAGCAGCAGGTCCATCAGGCTGCCACCCCCACCCAGAGTAGGAGCCCTGGCCAGCACAAAGGAGGTGAAGCGGCCGACTAGCAAGCTCGAGTAGAGGTGGTAGAGCAGAGGTCAACAACCATTGTTGATTGGTGGACTGGAAGAAAAGGGAGGGGGAAGCATTTTACATGCGTGCATGCGTGACTGGGACCGCAAGCACGCACACACTGCAAATGGGGCGGGGCTAGTGCCTGTGTGATACTCACTAGCCCTGCCCCTTTCTTGCATGGTGCAGCGCCTTGTATTTGCACCCCGCGGTGCTGCGGCGGCCATTTTTGCACCTTGCAGCACGGTGGCCCATTTTTGCGCCCCCAGTTTTTGTGTGCCAGAGGCGGCTCTCAGAGGTGCCTCCCTGCCTCCCCCTGAGGGCACTACAATGCTGATGCAGCCCACTTTGCGATAAATAAGTGGGTTTGGGGTTGGGGTTTGGGCACTCGGTCTCTAAAAGGTTCACCATCACTGATCTATACTGCCATTGCATAGTAAAATTAGGGCTTTATATGAAGGTATTTTTTAATAGAGTCAGGTTAATCCTCTGTCTTGTAATTCAAAAGGCCAAACTTATTCTCTGTTAATTATGTTAGAAAAGTTACCTTGCCCAGCACTGCTATTCAACCTGAGGAAATTTAGTGTCCTAATAGCATTAGATGACATGTCTGTGGAAATTCTCCGTCATCCAGGTCATAGTTATCCCAAAGGTGCTTTTTCACGAGGCAACTGGACTTTCTTGTTTACCTTTGAAGACGTTTTGCTTCTCATCCAAGAAGCTTCTTCAGCTCTGAAGAGCTAAAGAAGCTTCTTGGATGAGAAGCAAAACGTCTTCAGAGAAAACAGTTGCCTCATGAAAAAGCACCTTTGGGATAACATTAGATGACATGAAAGTTGCAGAGAGTGGAACAATCCTGTTACTGTACTTCAGTGTTTCTCAACCTTGGCAACTTTTAAGATGTGAGGACTTCACCTCCCAGAATTCCCCAGCTTAAGCTTGTCAAGGTTGAGAAACACTGCCATGAAGTAACACCAAGATTAACACAGTTATGATGGAGTTCCAGGCTCACTCAAGCTGCTGGTGATGACTTACAACGCCCTACGTGATGTCCTGATTACATCAGAAACCAAATGTCTGATAAGAACACCGTGAGAGGTCCTCACGCCATGTAAGATTAGAGGACCACCCTCTCTGTGTGGCTCCTGTCTTCCTTCTCCTGAAAAGTTCATGAAGACTTTCCTGCTCGTCGTTCTATAAAACTATCAAAACAAGTTGGTTCAACAACTAGGTCTGAACTAAACATTTATGTCAGTCATTGGGGAAGGTTGAGTGTCTCTGTGATCTTATGAACTCGGGTTTTTCTTTGTTCTGCTAGTCAGAGTCTGTAGACAGGGGCAGATTGCAAAGACCGTGACATAAATAAATAATTTCTATGGTTGATTTAACAGTATCCTTTGGCTCCATCCAGCTATTCACCTTTACGTACGAGCTGTTAAGCCTCATAACAAGGAACACACCTCCCTAGCTTAATCCTGTAGTGTCTATTTTGCTGTGGAAATATATTACCCTACTTTTGTTTTAATCAGTGTTTGATCTCAAGGCCAAACGACATGTTACATGAGAGATTCATAATCACAAGCGAAAAAGAAAACCCAGGAAGAGTTGTTCCATTTCCTGAAACAAAACAAAACAGAAATAAAGGGAATTAAAAAAATAAATAAATCAGTACTCCCAGCTGTCCTTACTCACATGGAAATTGAGCTGGATATACCCATATTTTTTGCATTTTAAGGCCAATATGATTGAAACAAAGCTGCATTGATGGACGTTTACCGATTTTGCATAATAGATACCTGTCTCTTTTATTTATTTATTTATTTATTTATTGTTCGAATTTATATCCCGCCCTTCTCCTTGCGGACTCAGGGCGGCTGACAATCAATTAAAAACACCAATAACAACACAAAATTTAAAATTAATTAAAATGAAATATTTAACTTGTCTAATTTAAAATATAATTAAAAACTCCTCTAAAAACCCCTCTTAAAAATTACCCTAG